GGGCCAAACCCTTCATCTCTTTTTGCGTCCATCTTCATGTAGGAAGGGCTTGGGAATTCCCGTGAAAAACAGCTATTCAGACGCAGAGACTGAAGTACAGTTGAGGGATCAGGAGCTCCTGGGTACAATAATAAATTACTGAAGAGCTTTTGTTGTGGAAGCTGTAGGATGGATGTGGGTTTCGTGGAGCGAGGAGGGACGTAGAAAGTTATTAGCATTTTCTGTTCACATTCATCTTCCAAAGCTCTTTGATTTCTGCACAATCTGTGGAGTCCAACAGCACAACAAACCGAGGCCTTAATTTCAATATAGCTGCAGGGTTCTCGGAGCCTTGCTGCAGGATACAGCAATGCCCTTCTGCTGAGCAATAGTCTCCAGCGAGGTTTTTCTAGGAGCAGATTCAGTGTCAGGAAATAAAACTAGTAGTCCACTGTGTACAAGCAGAGATGACTGGTGTACTCCAAATTGGCAACTTCTATTTGGGGAGATAAATGACCGTACGTCTAAGCACTGCCAAATGATGTTTCTTTAGCATAGCTGATTTTTTTTTTCCCTATTTGAATATTCAAGATACTGTATCATTTATCTGAGTTCACATGGGAGTTGTATTTTCCATGGTTTTTTTGGTCGTCTTGAAGTCAAGGGTAACAACACAGCTATAAACGTAAGATCTAAACTCTAATGCTTGAAGTGCCAGAAAGAGGAAAGTTTGCATGCCTGATTTTACTCTTTCTTCTTCTTTCAATTAAAATAAAGTTGCAAGTTTTAACAATGAGAGTAATTAATCACAGAAATAAAGTAGCAAGGGAGGTAGAAAATTATCCATGGTTCCAACTTTTCTTAATCAAGGTTGATGACTATCCAACAGTTATGCTCCAAGTTACTGGGCTTGGCAGACAAATCCGTGGGTAAAAGGCTGTGCTTGCGGTGCAGGAGGCCAGGGGATGGTAATGCCTCTTCTGGCTTTGAGCAGGAAGCAGCATCCAGCAGGTTAGGCCATAACCCCAGATAGCGTATTTCTGTCCCCCACACTAAGCTCAGACTCCATGTGATTAAAATCCAGGATTTTAAATCCTGAGTGTGTGTCGTGGCTCTTCTAAACGCAGACATGCACAGAGCCAGTGTGGGAAGCCGATTTTGTTAAGAGCTTTCTAAAACCGCTGTAGCGAAATGAAAGCTCGGCTCGTTTCTCGCCTTCCCTGGGTGAGTATGAAGGCAGGCTGCTTTCAGTGGAAGCCCGTCGTTCTGCAACAACTCACTGCTGTCACAGATGCTTGGGTGGGCAGAGCACTAAACTAGTTGTCTCGAGAACTTCCCACAGTAAAATTACAGAGGCTCAGATTCACCTCCTAAGGAAGCTAAATTCATCTTTGAGGAGGTGGAGAGCTACACCAGCAGCCCCACCACCAGTTCTCAAGCTAGCTGAAGACAGCCTTGCTGCATCTTCAGCTTTTGCAGTAATACCAGTGCAAGCGTACAGCTATGCTGACCTGCACAGTAGCCTTCTGGCTTTATGGCGTTTCTCAAGTTCCAGATGCCAAGCCATGGCAAAACATACCCCAAAATCTGTGTCGCTTCTTGGAAGGGTTCCTGCACCGGAACCGGAGCCTGCTGTTCCTCCAGTCCGCTGGCACTCAGCGTTGGAACAAAGCTCTCGCTGCTGCTGCTGCAGCCGCAGACTGTGATGGCCGGTCTTCAGTGCAGCAGGGTTGGTAGTTAGATCTGCATGCTAGTAACCGCTTGTCCCACAGGCACTAAAATCTGGCCAAAGCACGATCACTGGAAACTTCAGGAGTGGCCGCATGCAGATTTGTATGCTCTTCAACAACCAGCGTAAGAAGACCTCTTCATTTTCTCCTTCCAGGTCATCTGTTTGGATTTTAAGGGTTTTAGAGCAGTGACTATCTTAGATGAAAAATTCAATTAACTTAAAAAAAAATTCATCAGTGGTTCTGAATAAGACCCGCAGGTTTTAGTAACTTTTAGACTCTTACATATGTGTCTTCCTTCCGGTTTAATTAAGCCTCCTAACACTAGTTTGCACTGTAGCTATTTGCTATGCAGGCAAACTGAGGTTCACAAGGGGAAGAGTTACTTCAGTTGGCATTTAAAAGTCTGAGCTGCTATCTAACAACTTTTTGAAATTCTAGGTTATTAAAATTTCTTAATTCTCATTGAAATTGAGAAGAGAAGCATCCTCTGCAGGTACATCAGATACACAGGTGGCTGCAGCCGCAGACACAGCAGGTCACACTGGAATTTCACAGTACTGCAGGGTGTGAAGTACAGCAGTGCCTCGCACCAGACACCGTGCTCAGGAGGTGGGGCCAGGCGGTTCCCTTGAGGAACTGGAGGGATGTGCGCTTTGACAGCATTTGTTTAAATCACTTATTTAGAAAGCAGCTGGAACTTGCCTCGGTCTGCGTTGCCCATATACCTGACATTAAGCTCAAATTGACATCACCAGGTCCATGAATCACGTTAGGCTACACTGCAATAAACTCTGCTTTACAGTTAAGCAAGTAAAGGCTCCATCATTTTTCTGTTTTTCAGACTACAAGATTCAGGCATTTGATAATACCTCTCTGACATGGCTGTTAAGTACGTCAGTCCCTAGCAGACGGCAATTCGCCTAGCTGCTGCTGCCTGTGAGGGCCTGCCGGGATACCAAGACTTTGGTAGGAGCTTCGTGGTCAGCACTTGCGTCGATGCGATGCCCGTTAGCTCTGCCAGGTAACTGTCAGAGATGAGGCTGAGTGTGATGCACTGCAGTGAGATCAAGATGGCAGTGGTGTATGTTGCTGGAGCTGAAATTCATGACTCTTAGTCATTCCGTGCAGTTTTGTGTTGTTTGCCTGAGGGTACGCTTTGAATCAAAGAGTTGCTTAAGCAGCAGAAAACACAAAACTGGCAGAGAAAGGCAGTGTAAAAGGTTAAATCTCAGCTTCAAAAGGAGCTGTGATGTTGCCCAGCTCCATCAGAGCTGCAATGTTTTGCTCTTCCAGTACCTAAATGTGCTGGTTGTGGCTGGGGTAGAGTTAATTTTCTCCATAGTAGCCAGTATGGGGCTCTGTTTTGGATTTGTGCTGGAAACAGTGTTGATAACACAGGGATGTTTTCGTTGCTGCTGAGCAGTGCTGACACAGAGTCAAGGCCTTTTCTGCCTCTCACCCCACCCCACCAGCGAGCAGGCTGGGGGTGCACAAGAAGCTGGGAGGGGACACAGCTGGGACAGCTGACCCCGACTGACCAGAGGGATATTCCACACCATATGACGTCATGCTCAGTATATAAAGCTGGGGGAAGAAGGAAGGGGGACACGTTTGGCGTGATGGCGTTGGTCTTCCCAAGTCACCGTTAGGCGTGACGGAGCCCTGCTTTCCTGGAGATGGCTGAACACCTGCCTGTCGATGGGAAGGAGCGAATGGATTCCTTGTTTTGCTTTGCTTGTGCGTGTGGCTTTTGCTGTACCGGTTAAACTGTCCTTATCTCAACCCACGAGTTTTCTCACTTTCACCCTTCCAATTCTCTCCCCATCCCACTGGGGGGAGTGAGCGAGCGGCTGGGTGGCGCTTAGTTGCCGGCTGGGGTTAAACCACGACACTAACGAAGCTTTAGGAGGAGATGGGAGAGGGTGCTGGGGCTCTGTGTCAGTAAAAAGCTGCCACGCTAGAAGTACTCAGAGATCCTGTCAGCATTCCCCCCTCAGGGAAGGGGAGGAACTAAAACCCACTAGCGGAACAAATACAGGGTGAGAGAGAATGGGCAGTATGCATGGAAATACTTATATTTTAATTTATTTAGGTACATATTGTTGGGACAGGGGTGTTTGTTAGATCTTGGAAAAACAATTTAAAGCTTGGTTTTGAGTCACTTTGGAGTTTTTGGAGTCACTTAGACCTGATGGCATCAATACCTTTCTTACAGTAGGAGGAAATTGATGCAAGCTGACAAATTGTGGAATTCGCTCAGGTAGAGTGATAAGCACAACATTTACGGTGCAAGGACCCAGACAGCGCAGTGCAGATACTCATGTACCACTGCCAAGCAGCCATGTGTTGCTGCCAGCAAACCTGGTGACTGAATCCAACGTGTCTGGTGTTTGTAACACAAATGCATGCTTAGTTTTATGGTAGCATGAACTAACAATGCATACAGTCCCCCTTCACTTGGAGGTATCAGGTGTCTATCTTGAGCTCGCCTGGGTTTCGGAAAACAGGGAGAGCCTGAGCCCTGCAGAGTGAGAAAGTACAATGCAGGTGAAAACTTCACGCGAGATCCTTCTCCTGTGCAAGTGGTGTGAGCATGTTCTCAGTAGCTCTGAATAATTTTATGGGTGCCTCTAAAATTTTGCTTAACCCCAGGAGACATAACTGACCTGTATTTCACCAAGACTTCTCGTCAAGGATTGCTGCTTGCTAGAGAACGTGCAGCCCTTCAGTCCTACTAGAGCGTGTTTTTGAGCCGGTTAGTCATCCATTTTAATTTCATATCAATTCAACAACTGATTGAATACAGCGTGTTTATTCCCTTCCAAATAAATCTCAAAAATGAAGCCAGCATCCTGCCCCTATCACAAACATTTCAGTATTGCTCAATTAGCAGTTCCCACTTGCGCCTTTGCCAATGATGAGCGAGCTACAGAATGGCACCTGTAGCTGGTTAGGTGAGATCAGTCCAGTTGGATTTGACAGCCATGGTGTTGGACACATACAGTGCTTCGCTTGCAGACCTTAACACACGTTGATTGAAAAAGCAGATGGGAGGTATTCACTGCTTCTATCTTCTCTGCCAAACCCTGGAGCAGCATATAATTCCAAGGCGGAACTGTAAACTGTCCGTAGGTTTATATCCAAACATCTTCCATCTTCTTTTTCATTGTTCCTAAATCCCCTCAGGTAGCTCTTGTGCATGAAAACTGTACATATCACAGGCGCGTTTCCCTCAAGAAATCTCTGTATTATGCAATAAAGGAATCATTTTCTCCTCTGTGTGCCCTTTTATCTCTGCTTTACAAAAAGGTTCTTGAAGGCATTGTTGTAATTTTTGTTAAATGCTGTATAAATGAGGGGATTAAAGAAAGAATTGGAGTAGCCAAGCCAAAGAAAGATGCTTTTCCAGACGGGTGGGATGTTGCAGGAACAGAGGGGACTTATTAATTCTGTGATGAAGAAAGGGATCCAGCACAGTACAAAAACTCCAATTAAGATGCCAACCATTAGAGCTGCCTTTTTCTCTTTCTGTTCTCTCCATGTTTCTCCATCTGTCTGGAAAGCGATAGCTGCATGACGAGCTGTAAACACCATCTGTGGTTCACACGAAGCTTCCTTCACCTCAAAACAAAAGCAAACATGGATTCTTACCAAGACAATTTGTTTGAGTGAAGTATTACTTTTAAATGACAGCCCAACATCTGTGCACCTACCACATAAGGCCCCAACTCTGTTCCTTCCATGCTAAAAGAAAGAAAATGCCCCAGAGTGCCAAAATTACCAGACTTCTCATTATGTTGGAAAAGCTGCTGAGAGTGACTGACAAACAATGCTAAATAAAGGGTAACTGATGCCATGAGTGTTGTGGGCATTCTTTTTCAGTTTGTTTTATTGGATGCCTTGGTACCTAGTGGGAAATCAGGTTGTTAAGGACGGCTAACAAAGGCACGTGCCTTCTGTCCGTCCCTAAACTAGACTCTCCTATGCTGCTACATGACCTTTGGGGTTTCTCAGGCCTGAATCGTAAATTAATTTCATTCCATTGCAGGCCCTTTGGGTCATTTCCCTAAGGTATTAGAGAGGGACCCGCAACAAATGCCCGCTCGTTGACCACAAGATAAAGCTATTTTCTTCAGCCTAACTGCCTGGACGCAGAGCTCAAAACCCCATCCCCAGCGGGTGCAGGAGCTTGGCACTACCACTTGTTCTGCAGAAGGGACAGAGCATACCCCAAAAAACTCAGCTAAATCTGCAGGAATATTTTTCCATCAGAACCTTTTTTAATGAAAGAATGGGATTTCATTTAGAAAAAAAGTTTCAAGAAATGTGTCTGATCTTTGAAAAATGCCGATATTTCATCACCCCCAAAAAATGATAAATGCCTGAAATAAAATTGGATACTTCAGAAATATTTCAGTGGAAAGCAAACCTCTCAAGAAGAGTCCCTTACAAAAGACAGAACTCGGGTGCCTTCTGCTCTTCCTTGACAGAAGCTATCTCATCACAGGCACTTCTCCCTCCTGGAGAGGGACAGAGCAGTGTATCGCATCAGCTGCAGCCTGGTCACAGTGCCAACACAGTATATGACAATGGGAGCATAAGGATGCACCTGAAATGACGTACCCTCAGGCACTGTGTCACCATTTTGACTTTGCTTATAAAATACTCTGGTAGTAATCAAAGAAAAGCTTTGCTGGAGAAGCAGCATTTTCTGGTCCTCATTTTCTCTCTTCTGTCACCTGTCCTTTATCTCACTCAGATCTACTTCATAATCTCACATAACGTACTCCATTGCCAGAAAAACACCATTTCAATCAGCCTTCAGTTCAAACTCTGGCTTCAACAGAAGTTACACAAGAGAGGGGAAAATGTCAGCTACTCTAGGCTGCTGACGGTGCTTCTTGTCTCCTCCTCTCTTGCCCTTGGCGAGACATTCTTCTGCGCAGTGAGTACAGCACAGTGCTCTGGGTGGCAGCGAGACTGTGGCAAAAAGGTTCTGGGCATGTTATTCATGTGCTTAGAGTCTATCCAGAAAAAGATACTCCCTTGTGATTTTAATTTGAAGATTTAAGTATCTGCGAGCTTAAAGTTCTTCTAGGCACTACAGTTACAAAGACAGTGCAATAAAATAAACAGTTTAAGGATGCAACCTGAGGCTCTAAAATTTGCCTAAGTGGCAATTCACAGGAGCTGCAAGACTTTGACACCACTCCAAAGATGACTTGTTAAATTAGCTATATATTCTACATGCGCACGCCACTTTTGTGCAAGCTTTGTAACAGATGGAGGGCCTCTATTTAATATGAGCACAGCAACTCAAGAGAGGGAAGCACTGGCAATGGCTAGACAATCACTCTTCAAGATGGATATCCCTGTCTTCACCCTCAGACATGAGACATGGCTGCAGAATGTAAGAGCAGCAGATTATGGGCGCAGGCAAATAATGGAGGAAAACGAAAATCACATCTGTCCTGACAATTAAAATGCTACCCCTCATGTAGCAAGGATCACACCATTTGTCTGCAGAAGGACTTGCTCTGCACATCCTTAATCACACTCTGCAAAAAGGGATGAATGTATGACACGAGGACAAATTTGTGACAAGCAACCCTGAAAGATTACGTCTTAGCCCTGAGGAATAGCTACATAAGTATGCCTCTTGGGAAGAGCCATACAAAGGACTTTGTCACTAGCATCGGGCATAGTTTGGTACTGTATTTAACCTTCAACTCTTACTCAAAAGATAGAGCTTGCAGTGCGCCATCATCAAGTCGGAGCCTTTTCTTTTTGGTACTTCAGGTTTTAGGCGGCTTGTGACTGAACTGCAGAATTTACTAGTAGCAACTCTTCTATCACTTAATTACATATTGTGAGAAAAAGTTATTTATTTTGATAGAAGATACCACAGTCCTCAGGTGTTTTACCTAATGAAGCATGCATTTACAGCCTGGTCAAGCTTCTACTGAAATCAGAGGAGTTTTCACAAACTCCACTGGTTGTTAGATCAGGCCACTGAATACTAAACAGCAAGTGAAAATAGATGATGGTATTTTTTGTAAATTACAGGACAGCACCTGTCTTCCTATCTACATAATTTCTACTTTCTCTGTTGTCATAGCTGTTTTTTCAATTATTTTTTCACTAGTTCTGCCTGGGACTTCTGAATAATGTTGTAGTAACAGTAATAATAATAAAAGCAGCCTGGTGCTTTAGGAAAAATAATGGGATCTCCCATGGAACCTTCCACTAAGTAAACTGTGTAAATATCCCTGGCAGACTGGAGATATTTTGCTTCAATTTTCCATAAGAAATTCTTTGAAAAGGATACACAGAATGTTCCTGAAAAGGTAACTAGTATCCCTGCTCAGCAAGGTCCTTCAGCCTGTGTCTTCAACAGGACTTACACAGGCATTTAAACCTTGGAAGCTGTATGAAAGCTCAGCTGTCCATGATCACCAGTGTCTAATGCTCTCCCCGTACGTTGCTTCCAGCTGACCAGCCGCACACGCTGTGAACGACCCTGGCTCAGTTGGCTCTCCATCAGGCTCGCCTGCCACGACACCTGCCTCTCGGGCATTCCCGGCATGGGGTACCGTTCCGGGTGCCAGCCCCCGGCGTGAGCGCTGCCGCTTGGCAGACCTGTGATCCACTGGCCAGCTGCTCCTGGCTTGTACTATTGCAGAAGGGACCAGACCTTACACAGGGTTTCTAGTGAGGCCCTGTGCTCAACGCTCCTGTGCTCAACGCCCCTGTAAATGTATCCGCTTTGCGGTACTGTGCTCCCTCCCTGCCTGATCACCATATACACTTACTACAGGACTGCCAGCATCTCATCCCTGCTGTGGGGACTGATTCATCAGGGGACAAGTCTACCAGATTTTTAAAGTTAAACACGGATTTCATTTGAAGTGCTGTTCATATCAGAAAATACGTGTCAGTGCAGATTGCAAAGTCCAACCTTTCATTATAATTTCAAAATTTTTGATTTTTATTGCTCTCTCTATGATTGCTGTAGACCTCACTCATCTCCCTGGCCTGGTTGGTGCAAGATTATCCTTGCTACAACTATCAGCCCCCAAGACTATGTTGTCAAGGCTGTTTGTTATAAGCCAACCCACACAAAGCACATGGAAAGTAAATTAGTCTATTGTAGGCAAACACTGTTGTGGTACACAGTGCTGGTGGGGGAACCATGCTACAGGATTCCTCCCTTATGCAGGCATGGGGTAATCCACTGTAATTCGGCATTGTCTGAACAAGAGCACAGGCCAAAAAGATTATGTAGCTGCTTTCCAGCCTTGCCAGTTGCGATTTTCCTGAACTCAACACAGCTCTGACTATACCAAATCTGCAGTTTCCAGTGCCAATCGTGGAGGCTTTTCATGACTCCCATTTCTAACGTAAGTCAGAATACCTGACCGTTATCCCTGTGCCACATGGAACAAAGGACAAGCTCAACACAAAATCTTTCTCCCCATTTTGGGCCTACTGACGAGCGCTAGTGAGCAGGCTGTGACAGGGGAAAAGGTGGTCACAGACTGTAAATTAAAGCAATCCATGAAGATGCCTTAGTTTATACTGGGGACATCTCTCATATGTGAGCATCTCTGCACAGTGTTGCACACTGTTCTCACTCGGTGGCTAGCAGCACGCCATTCCTCGGGCCCAGATTTCCTTCCATCTGCCCAGGCACTGCTCCAGGAGCTGCAAGTCAGGAGCAGTGGGGAAAAAAGCTGGTATGAAAGGACTGCTACTCTGAGACCAGAATTAGGTTCTGAATTCGTGAAATCTGCTATTTCTAGGACAACAGGCTCTGAGAAGTGCAGAGATGACCACTTTCCACTGAGAGTATCATAAAGAGAGTTAAATGAAGGGAAAGAGCTCTCAAGTATAAATTCTTCTACAGACACAAAGGAGTTTGGTTTTAGTTTCAGAATTCATTCTTCTTCTGCACGTTGATCAGCAGTTACAGTTCAATGCCACTTCTGTTGTTTGTCTGTCCCTGGTAAATTACTACTACTGAATGGCTGTATGTTCCCAATTCCTGTGTTCTAGCAGCATTATAAAAAACATGCCACCAAGGAGCTTCTGATGAAATCCCTTGATTTACAATGTTCCTTATAGCTTTAATGATTGTTATTACTGGTCCTTCCTGGCAGGTACTGTGTATGTGTTTGTACTGTACCTCCAGGGTCTGCAATAACAAAACAACAGGAAAGATTATAAACATCAGTCAAATCTGGCTTACTACCACAAATTCAGAGTTTTCCCTATTACAGTGTGATTCAGCAAAGATCATTACTGCCTCAGCGCAGCTTTGGCATGCTTCTTGCTCTTTGAACAAGAACACGAGAAACTGAAATGCACAACGCAGGAATGTCTACACTTTCTTAGATGCTCCACCAATATGACAAACGGTACATGTGATAGGGAAAAGAACACCTGCTTTCCCTCACAGGATCTTCTTCTGCTGTAAGCAGGAATAGCTCTGCATTTCTCCCAGGAAATTGCTAGCCACTCCACTTTCCTTCCTGCCTCACCTTTCTCCTGTCTGACATCTGCTGCCACTCTTCGGGACAGTTGCACTTTGTTTCCTGACCATCTCTTCTACTTGTACAGTCAGAGCCAGAAATAAGAAATAGAAGGCCCGTCACTCCTTCAGAGAAGGAGAATCTGTTTCTCTCCCATATTATCCTGACTGGGTACGTGGGCTGGGGAGGCTGAACGGGCCAAGGGGCAGAACAACACTGCACTGTTGGAGCTCTGGGGCCTCATACTATCTAAAGTGGGAAGGACTCCCACAAAACCTATAGGGTTTGGATCAGGCCTAATTAATCATACACTATACAAGGTACTTTGAGAGGGGAGAAAGAAAAAAAAACCCGAAACCAAAAAAAACCCCCAACCATCAACAGAACTTGATTTTTAAGTCCTCACATGGAAATTTAATCCTGACTCTGCAATTGCTACATGTAAGTAATCCTGACATTCAGATTCTGCCATCCTTGGTTTTGCTGGGCAAAACCTATGCTACAAGTGACTTCACTGATTTAAAAGAGCACTATCCAGCAGTAGCTGCTGTTTTTCAAGCAGTCTTATTTATTTCAATTGGACTATTTACAGAGAGAATTATTACCTACTGTCAACAAGGTGTGACAGAGTATAGCTCTCTGTTAGAATCATAGAATCATAGAATCATTAAGGTTGGAAGAGACCTCCAAGATCATCGAGTCCAACCATCAACCCAACACCACCATGCGTTTATGTTATATATATAACATATATATATGTTAGCGACGGTATGTCACTATTTTTTTTAGGAGGGTCACTCACATCAGTGTTGACTGTAGAATTCACTTTTTAAGGAGTTTCATAATCAGCAAACAAATAATTATACAAGCACCAGTCTAATTTAGGGTCCCAATTCTGCAATTTTTTTGTTTCAAGGGAAAGTAAGAAACAAGCTCTCATTAAAACTAGAAGCACCCCAGATGTTTCATGTCCATCTCCCTCACCTTAATTTTTTTCAAAGACTTTACCAAGTGTTTTTCAAAAACACAAGTAAAATTTTAACCAAAACCAACTCAAAATAGTTATTTTGTAACTATTCTATTCAGCACCTCTATAAAAGTACAGAAACAAAACGTATGTATGCCAACTTTCAGCTTGGAGACAACTGCCCTGTGTGTGTGTTTGCAGCGTTTATTAATATAATAAACTGTCTTCCTATCTACATAATTTCTACTTTCTCTGTTGTCATAGCTGTTTTTTCAATTATTTTTTCACTAGTTCTGCCTGGGACTTCTGAATAATGTTTATTCATTAATAAGCAGCCAGTTTATATTAATAAGCGGCAACCTGCAAAGCACTTTGGCGCTTGGCTCTGTTGGCTGACAAGCACTGTGCAAAAACATCAAGGTATCATCGGAATTGTTCCACTTGGTGCATCAGTTTCTCCAAGGCATTTCTACCGGTATATGAGTACTATGACCTCAAATCTTTTCCTCATTAAATTAACTTGCTAGTATTAACCAGCTACACTGCTGGGTATACCTTAGGCCACAAACCGTAGCCCTGGCACATAGTTCCAACCCAGGGCTACCTGACAGCTAATTCCTGAGTGCCACACAGGCGTCTCTCCCAGGAGGGATCACCACTGTTACTAATCACCTCCAGCCTGGGAAGCACTGCCAGCCTTTGGCATCGGCTGCCACAAGCCCCTCTAATGTCAGATCAACTAGCGCAGGGCACCCGAGGTGAGAACTGACATAGATGCAGAGGGCACTTCACACTCAGAATAACAGTGACAAAAGAAAGATGTTTCAGGGTGAGCACAACAGGTGAGCATTCTCAGAGAAGGAAGGGATGAAAGAAAGTAAAGGTAGGAGAGACATTAGATGAGAAAGAAATGGAAAATTAGAGTGAGTTGATGGGCAAAACAAGATAAGTGGAACAGAATTTGCCCCATCAGAGAAAGGACAGTACTGACACTGACAGCCCAATTACCCCTGGATGTGGAGAAGCAAAGCTGGATCACCTCACCAGGTTTGCCACATACCCTGGCAATGTTATCTTTGTGTTTGCATGTTAAAAAACAAAAGGGTTTTGCCAAAGGAACAGTAGTAATGTGTCTGAAGATTCTTCTCCAGAATTCACTGGGGAACTGCTACTTTTCCTGTAAGCTTCTATGGGATCAGGATAAAACTCGGTGAGTAAGTCTCAGTCTCTTAACTTAGAAAGAAAACCGAGAAGAAATGCATCCTGAACGCCAGCTCCCTTGATCTGTGGGTTCATTCAGTGTACACATGTGCAGCTGAGCATCAGCTCTTCCTTTAGACGACGAGTAAAGGTTCGCATGTGTGTCAAAAAAGTCTTTTTATTTAAGCCAGCAAACGAAGCTGCTGGGACAATGGGGAAGGTTGCCACTATATACCAATTGCAGATTCAAGAATCACTGTTATAAAAGGAGAAGTCGATATGTTAATCGGTGCAAATATAAGAAAGATGAAGAACTGCTGGCTTATGCATTTTCTGGTATTGCAGTAACAGCTGTACGGCAACCCCTCCAAAACGGGTATTATGCTCACACTGACAGGAGCTCTTTTATAGTTCCTGTATAGGCTATACAGGAGCCTATACTTTTATAGGCTCAGTATAGCCTAAACCAGCTCTCAGACACTGCATCAGCATAAAGCACTTACCTGCCAGCCTAGCTGTGCCCACGCAAGGGCTTTTGCAGACAGAACTATGACAATTAGGAGCCAGACCTGTTTCATGTTAAAACTGACATACCAACAACATGTCTCTGTATAGGCTAAAACTTAAGCAGCAATGCCTCAGTTCATTTAGCTTCCCAGAATTTTAGATTCCAAACAACTAGTCCTGTATGAGTATGTGTGTATGTAAAAGATAAAGCATGCGAAACCACTACAAATATTCAGTTAGCTTTTGTGCTTGGAAAGATTATACATTAACTCCAAGCAATACATTCATCATACTTATAACAATTTGGAAAGAAATTCGGTG